TTTTTTTTTTTTTTTTTTTTTTTGAAAACACTGTTCTGACACTGACAACTGGGTAATAGCTCTTCCTGTTTGAATGATATTTAGCTGAAGGTTTTGTTGATTGAAAGCTAGGTAGGCTTATTTTTGTCGTAGCTTTGTAACTATCTTGTTTTATGAAGAAGGGAATAGGTAAAGTTGTTAAAAATTTCAATTTTGTTTGTAAACAATAACAAAGATTATGAAGCTAATTTCTACAAACGAGTATAAAATACCAAAAATTGAACTAAAAAGGCAGAAATTTTTTTTTTTTTTGTTTCTTTTTTGATTGTTTTTACTTTTTTTTCATTCGATGTTTACAGATTTAGCAGATACGTTTGATGCTTTTGTTTTGTCTGATTCATTTATATTGACTAAAATCGTTTAAACAAAGAAAAAAAGAAAGACTCAACAGATCAAATACTTATTTTTTCCGTCTCTCAATGAAGCATCATGCATCATTTTTTATGTTTTTAATAGGTATTCTATTAAAAAAAAAAAAACCTTTCTGAAGGTTTATTTTATTTAGTGGAAGAATCTGCATTGAAAATTATGACCAATTTTTCCCGTCTTTCTTCCCTTTTATTTGAAGCGAAAGTGTTGTAAAAATTTCGAAAATGAATGAATGACATGATATAATTACATGAATTGTCGTTGTTAACCTCATTATAAAGTCGAAATAAGTTTTGATACATGTTTTTTTGCCTTGTAATTGATAAAAATTTTAAAAGTCATTTACAATTTTTTATTTGGAATCGTTCAGATCTCTGACATTCTTTAACGACAATTTGGACACCTGATTTTTTATAATATTTCTGATTTGTTGAAACTTTTTTTTTAGTTAATCAACTTTCTAAACGATGCAAATCTCGCATAAATTAGCACAAAATGACTGTACAACCTCGAGTGTCATTTGCTGGAGTTTCCGTATTTTGCTTTCGTAGTGTTTTGAGAAGAAGAAAGTAGAAGAGAAAGAAGAAAAAGTAGATGATTTTGATGACGACGATGATGTTGATGAAAAAGAAGAAAGAGAGGAAGAAAAAACTTTGAAAAACGTTTTATATTTCATTCTCATTATTTTTTTGTTGCTAAAATAAAAAAAAAGCAGCAATAGAGCACTGGCATTTAATTATCTCATATTTGCTGTTGAGCAGAAACAAATTTCTTAAGAACAAATACAATTTGTCTTTTCTTTCGCTTGATTTTCACTAACTTTTGGCTGCATTTTAGTTCGATAACAGATCTAATCAGAAAAGCTGTCTATTATTGTAGTTTATTTTGATATGAAATAAGAACTAAAAAATTTTTTAAGTGTTAGTTGGTCTCGGTATTTCGTTAAATTTCACATCTGTATACAGAGTTTTTTTTTTTTTTTATACGTTGCTGTTTACTTCGCATAAATACCGTCTTCTCTGACACCATTTTTAGCCTATTTTGAAAGTTTTGTAGGATTGCCAATAAGTGTTGAAACATATCTATATAAATCTCAGCGTATTCTGCTTTTGTGATCTTAATTTTTTCTACTTTATTCAACTTTAGAAAAACTAAATTTATTTTGTTTTAGTGGTTACAGAAAAATATTATTCATAAAATAGTTAGATAGAAGTTTTCCAAAGAAGCAAATCGTCCGCCTTGTCCTTTCTTAGTATTCACTGGAAATTTTAAAGAAAATATATTCTTATTATTTACTAAACTGAACGCTAATAATTGAATTTTGCAGCTGACCAGGTTTTTTTTTTCTTTTTTGATAATAATTAGCTGTATGCAACTTTTAAAAAAAAAGCAAAGATTATTGAAGAAATCTAAACAATTAGAAGGTATTATTGCAGTTACTGAATATGCTGATTACAATGAGATTAGAATACCGATAAAGCAAATGATACCTAATTTTCACTCGTAAACTCCATCTCGCTGGAAAAATGAGCAAGTGTTTTTTTGGAAAAAACTGAGCTATTCGAAACACTGCAATGAATCAACAAACCGTAAGCACCGAAAATGATGCTGATGATTCGGATTCTCTCAGTGACAATACCGTAGTGACTCCAAAAAGAATTTCACGACGAAGTGCTACGGTATCTCCAGCAACTCGTAATCGTCTAAGAAATAATTCAAAAACAAGGTGATTCAAATAAGAAAATAGTTCGATAACATTTATCTTGTTTTTTTTCAGTTTTTTGTTTCAATTTATGCTAAAAAATGAAAATTTGCTTATTTTTTGCACTTTCTTCCTCGTTTGTCTTTTTGAATATTTTTTGCTGGTCTAAGTAAACAATCAGATGCTGCTATCTTACACTGGTATTAGTAGCTTTCGTGTGATTCTGTTATTTTAGACGTCGTTCAGACGCAAATCTGTTCATTCCAATTCGAGGATCGTCACAGAAAATCTCTGCAGGTGTATATAAAAGTATTTTGTTTGACAATATTTTATAGTGCAATTACTTCTTTAAAAGGTTTTTTTGGTGTACTAATGTTTTTTAAACAGAAACTGTTAGCTTTTTTTAATTTTACCATTTTAACCATGTACAGTTTCTCAAAAAAGATGCTTTTGAAAAATTTTTTCTAAATTTTAAAACTGCGTTAATCTTTTGTTGGTCGAGCTTGTATTTTCAAATATGTAAAACTAGCTATTTAGACAAATCTCCGCTTTGTATTGCAAAAGCAAATCTTCGTAAAACGAACAGTTTACCCAGCGTAGAACAATCACAACAAGTAAAACTTTTAAAGCTATTTTTTTTTCTTTTGAAAACTTTTAAGGCTATTTTTTGAGTTTGGATCAAACTAACTAATGCTGTTTGCAAGAATAAATGAAAAATTTTTAGGCTCATGTTCAAGCGATTCGTCAGTTGCTGGATACATTTCCACTACAGGTCAATAATCAAAGTTCCAGTGCCCACGATGTAAGCAAGTAGTTTTTGTTGGTAAACTTTCAAAAGAATTTACTGTGATTCATTCAACAGGATTTGCCAAAAGAAAAGTTCATCTATTAAATGACAAGTTAGAGCAAGTGGATCTAGTTCGAGAAAAAAATTTAGGTTTCTTTTCATTTTTATTCACCACTGCTCAAGACAACCCGTCTTATTTCAAAATTTAACAGATTTTTTCAATGCATTTTTAAACTGTAAAAAATGTTCAGGTTTGGACGACACCGCGTCAAAGTGTAGTTCCAGAACCCGAAGAATCCGACAGCGGTGAAGATCTGATGAACACAGACATTGAGGAACTACGTGAGGCCGCCGAAAGTATACAGTCATTGCAAAGGGTTCTCAAGATTCCATCCGAACTTCCTCAAGCTCCAAGTTGCATTTTCAACTGTTTCTTGTTAATATTAGTTTCTTTAACTTTCTAGGCAGTTCATATCTAATTTTAAATGACTTTTTACAGATAAAAGTTTGGAATTAAATTGTGATTTTTTAGTTGATATAATCACAGGTGGACTTAATTTGTTTCACTTTATTGTTTTTAGAAATTTAGACAATGCCAATACGAATAACAAAGTAATTTAAGACACATAAGTCGGGTTTTAAGAACTGTTACCAGAGTTTATATGTGCTTCCTAATATACTGTATATAACTGTTAAAGCTTTCTTGCTAGTTTGATTAATGAAAACGTAGACTGAAGTTCTTACATCATTAAAAGCACCTACTCGAAACACTTTTTCAAATCTTTATTTATAGTACCGGAATCAGATGCTAGTGAACGCACTAGTGGCACTGAAACTATCACCGACCTCCTTCAGCGCTCGGGTATAGCACCTCGAGCAGGAGCGCATCCTCGAGGTGTAATTCAGTTCCTTCCGTCTGTTAAACCTGCTCAGTTAATGCCGGCGCTTGGTGATTACCCATGGGATAAATCTAAACGGATTAATGAGCCAGACAAAAAGTTGGCAATAATGCGGAGAAAAACATCAGTTCCAGAAACTTATATGTCCTACAGTCAGGTGTTTACAGATGACCATAATTTCTTGATTAAATTGATTATTTCTAGTTATGCTTTCTTCGTTCTCTAGTTGTAAAACATGATCGATCTCAAGCGCTACTATAGTGTCCTTTCAGAATGCATTTGGCAACGACAAAGTCACTGGTAGTCGGAAAATGTCAAGGTTTGTCGGCTACTACCAAAATTTCAAACTTCGGCTATAATACTTTATCAAACTACCATTAAAGCCCGTAACTATAAATTGGTAACAGTTAAATAGGAAGGTGGTTTAACAAGTCGAATTACATTGACTATTTGTATTTTTATTCGAATAAATGTGTTATATTCAAGTTCATCAACCAGAAGAATCAGAAGCAGTGATGAGACAGAGATGTACAACAGGAAGAATTCGGACGTCCCAAAAAGCGTCGATTCTTTGGCTGGTGTTAGCAGATTCTCTAAACTATTAAGATCATTAAGGTCTTCCAGGCAAAGTTCTCCTGAGCCACAGACGTCAATGTCTTGGTTGGTTTAATTAAGTAGCATAAATCATGCATCGTGTTTTACAAACACTTTCTATAGCTGATATAAATAAACCCTTGGTGAATTGTTAAGTAACCATTAAAATATCATTAATATTTAATGGCTAATCTAAGAAAACTATTGATATTTATTGCATTAACTGTCAAGTGTTTCAGGAAACCATTAGTGCTGAATGAGAAATCACAGCATCAAAGGCAACAACCAATTTACCAAGCCGATCTTCTACTTTGGAAACGTAGGTCTCGGGCATCGTTGCGAAGGCATACTGATATCCGAAATATGGCTATTCGAGAGCTGCATGACACCGAGAAAACTTTTGTTGAAACCTTAGAATACCTAGTTCAAGTAATTTTAAGATTTCTTTTAAGAGACTGAAATTCTTTAGACTTTTAAATGTAAAAACATATTTCCTGATCATACAAGTTGTAGTTAGTTAAAATTCATACGAATTTATTTTTAGAAGTACATGAGACCTCTCCGACAGCCATTAGAATGTTCACTGATCGACCCAGCGTTGGCAGATAAAATATTTTACAAGATACCTGAAATTTTGGCTCATCATCAAGTAAATCTTAATGCCTATTCTAAAAAAAATAATACTAAATTTTTGCTCTTTTATATTCGTTATTATAATGCCTATAAGTTACGAAAGTACTGTTTTTAAGCATTTCTTAGCTGCACTCAGTGAGCGTTTGGAAGATTTTCCGGCTGAACCGCAAATTGGAGACGTATTACTTTCCCATGTAAGTTTTTCATTTACCACTCACTTGTATCTTTCCCGGTCTTTATTCATTTATAGGTGCCTTCACCAATCAATTTATTTTTTCTTTAACAGATAAAGCTACACATATATCAGCAAATAATGGTGATGTATCTTGTACTTTTACCTTTATTCTCCAAATATACAGAGAAGCTAAAATTATTGCAGCAAAAAAAAAAAAAAAGAAAAAAAGAAATGCGGAAAAATTTTTTTTAGTTCCGGAAACAGTCGATGGTTGAGACGTATATTGCTTTTGTTGATAACTTCAAATACGCGAAACAAAGCATTGCTCAAGCGCGGCTTAAGCCAGCATTTGATAAATATTACATGGTTTGTTTATCAATTTTCACTTAACAGTACTTGGGAAATTAACAAACACTTGAGAAACTTCTTATAAAATTTTTTTCTGATCAACTGTCTGGGAAAAAATCTCTCGTATTGCGTTATGTATATATTACAGAAATTCTTCCTCTCTGACCTCCGGTTTCTTTCTTTGTTGAAAAAGACCTCTTTGCCCTTATCTCCTCACACAGGGAAGATGAGCATTTTGAGGAGACTCATTCCATCTTTCTTATGATCGTTTTTCAAAGGAAGAAGGAGAGCGAGAAAGCGCATCATGGGATTATTAATGACCATTGATAAGCTTTAAAAGCAAGTGCAATACAAAAAAATCCACAGATAATTCCTATACTGTAACCTTCGTATACACAGTCTGTCCTTTAGCGAGTAATTTCTGGTCCTCATACGCTGGTCTCTGCCAAATTTTTGGTTTTGAACAGTGCGGAACTAATATTTCATTCCATTTTTTCTAAATAGTTTAAACGCATTTTGTTCCAAATGATCTGTCTCATACAGTTGCTGTATACCAGAATGCGCTTTTCTGTGTTTTTTTTTTCCTTCTTTATCTTACGGGGCAAGGTGACATTTTTGCGTTGCAGAAGTCATCGGTTTTGCATTGCAGAAGTCATAGGTGGCCTTCAAAAAAATATTTTGATTAAAAAAGATGAGGATCAGGAACTGAAACATGTGTTTTGACGCTTTCGCCTTTAATTACACGTTTCTTACTCATCTAAACTATCTTGCATTAAACTTCGGGCGGTTTTCTTTACAACCAAACTATACTCCCTTCACCATCCTTCAACAGTGCCAGAGAAGTAGAGCGTCAAATGACTGAGTTTATTGAGCCCTGTATGACTTCTCAAAATTTGATTGAAAAATTTGTCCTTATCCGCTCTCCGTCAAAGATTTTCTGTCGCGAGAGGATTTTTTCTTTTTCCTTTTCCGTCCCCTCATTATGAGTGAAACCTGCAAAATGAAGGCTTTTTTGCAGACGGCAGTCTTATTATATTATGCAATCATATCCAGAATTGGAAGTAATGCTCAAAATAAAATCCTTTTTATTTTTACATTTTACAAATTTTTGACGTTGACTTACTATTGATTAGTGTACTTTTTGCAGCGATGCTGTCGCGAGCACCACAACAAGCTCGATCTCGACTCATTTATTATAGCACCAATACAACGGGTACCTCGTTATGAGCTCATTATTAAGGTGACTGTTCACTTTTTTAAAGATAAGTACAGGTGCTCTTTTGGGACAGAAAAGTTAATTTTTTCTACCAACAGACTTCTAGTTAGTTCAAGTTTTTCCTATGTATGAGTAACATAGCCTCTGCAGTCCATCAAAAGAACATTCGGCTTACAGTTCACTATTCGTACATTGGTCAGAAGAAGCCAATACTGGCTATTACAGTAAGATTTCATAGGAGCTTTAGTAGTATAACTGTATATTGCTGTACTCACTGTTCCATTTTAGCAAATATTAAAGCACACTTCAGTGGAACATCCTGATTATGAAAATCTTGTCATTGCTCAAAAGCACATTCATGAATTAGCAGCAAAGATAAACAAACAGAAAGAAGAAAGTGAGGAAATGGAACAACGTCTGCGGGAGATTGAGGCCATCGTTGATGGACTAGATGATGTAGGACTTTCTAGCAGTATTTAGTTGATTAGATTTAAAAACAATGTTTTTTCCTTTCTCTAGTCGTTTTTTTCGAATATTCTTTATTTTTCTTAGTAGAATAGAACTGTAAGACTGAAGTGCACTAAGCTAGATCTTGCAATAAAGCAATTCTGATTTTGTTGTTTTAGTTAGTGACGACTGGCAGATCATTTAATCGCTATGATGTTGTAAATATTGTGACTACAAATGGCAGTAAACAAAGATGCTTATTCTTGATGTCTGATCAACTAATTGTAACCAGCGTTCGAAGGAAATCACCGTCTGCAAGAAGCTTCCGGAGCATACCTTCAACGTATGATCCTTTTCCTTCTGTATTCGACGGAGACGTCATAAAAGGCTATTTCTCAGTCTCTCAAAAACATCTTTTGGAAAGTCAAAAAAAAGGCAAAGTTTTATCAGATGAAATTGGAGTCCGAATAATATTACATCATCTTTCAGTGCTAAAAAAGCACCCTAATTTAAAAACTACGGTAGTATGCGCAACGCTTTCAAGAATTTCTAATTTAGGATTAGAACAGGAGATTTTTTGGAAAGTAACCGCTTTAAACTACTATTCAAAATATCGCTGGATGACGTTGAAATCGGGAAAGGTTGTAACATCAATCAATTGGAAAAGTTTCCATAATTAACGTAGAAGAAAGAATGGCTTTTTCAAAATGATGAAGCAGTTTAAAGGGAACAAAAAAACAAATATCAAACTCACTGCTTGCTGAAGTGTAAAGGAGCAAAAAAATAACCTGAATTTTTGATGGAATATAACTAGCTTCTTAGAAAGATTGCAAGTTACAGTGTGATAATAATGCTGTAACCAAATAAAAACTTCAAGTTGTTTTCTTTCAAGCCTAAAGATTAAACACTAAAATGTGGTATTTAAAGCTTCATTAAAAACATTCTGTTTCGAATATTTATGCAACAGATCGGAGTATTTGTAGAAACTCTTTCGCTTCTGCAGCAAACTGAGTTGCGTATTCGAAATACCCAAGAGGATTTAAACATCATCAACAAAATGATTGAACTTTCAAAGTTGCTGAGGGAAGAACATAAGGTAATGAAAAGTTTCAATGATCGTTTTTGAACTGGTTCTTAAATACTACACAACTATAATTTTCAAGTCTTAAGTCAAACTGTGTTTTTTATTTTTGACAGTTTTTTCCAACAAACAGTTATTGTGTCGATATGCAACTTCCTCAGTTTAGGAAATAACCGATTCGCTGGATCACATGCGTACGTCAACGATGCATGAAGTTAGAATACTACAAGACCAGCTAGTTTCCGATCAGGAGCTTACTACGGTTCATCTACAAGTCACTACAATGTAAATTTTTGGTGGAATTTGCTTTTCCACCTTTCAAATACTTAATTGTTAAACTTTGGAAAAGAGCATGAGCAAAAATTTTTCAAGAAAAAAAAATTATTTTTGGGTTCAATGATTATTAATTACTGAAAATTTATAGAAATGGTGTTGAACCGTTAACACTGCATTTCCCGAACGCTGAGAAAAGAGCATCATGGGAGAAAGCTTTGGTAGACACTAAAAACTCACTGAGTAAGAATTTTAATACAGAGTTATATTTACTGATTCTTTAAAGCGAACGAATAAGTAAGAAAAGTGAACTTGATTCAAAAAAACAAACGCTTAGAAGATGGATGAAAACTAACATGCAGCTAACCGGTCTTTCTTTAGACAATCTACGCCAAACTGAACAGTTACCACATTTACTTAAGTCCGTCATAACCCATAGAGCACGATCAGGTCTCACGGTAACTTCTGTTTTTGCTTACCCGCTACTTTTTCAAATATAAAAAACGTTTGAATGTTTACAGACTTTAGGAACCAAAATTGCAATATTACTCTCTTTTTGTGCTTGCGTTATTTGAGTTAACCGCACTTCTCCAAAACAACAAATTTCTCAACCATTAATGACGTCACAACAATCGAGTTTTCATGAAGATTTCAAATATCACTTGGAGTAAAAATTAGTGCACTGAAGACAGCTTTTAATCAACAATTAGTAGTGTTGAATTTTTTAAATTTTTTAAAGTTTTCTGTGGCTTCTCCAACTTTGGGGAAAAATGCTGATGGGGCGCCGAATGTTTGGGTTTGTACCGGGGACAAATTCTCTGGACAAATTGCGGTAATTAATGTTAATGGAGAACCAACAATTGAAAATAGCACCGGTATTGGTAATTCAGCTATTATGGCTATCTGCCCTGTACCTGCTCCCAGGTGAGCACTAATAGAGTGAAAAACACTTTCCGTATTGTTAAAGTAAAAAAGTTTTTGAATAAAATTGTGCTTACAGAAAAAGACGAAAATATTCTTTGGCTCAGAAGAAAGGGGTAGATCAGCCAGGTTTAGACCTTGAAAGGTATTTCTCTCGCTTCTCAGTTATTTTTTAATCGCAAGAGTTCTTTGAAACTCATTAATCTGTTTACCAAGGGTTTATGATATCTTGCAGCATTGCATACTCGAAGTTTGAATTTAAAAAATAAACGTAATTTTTCAGTAGTTCGTCAGAAACTGAGGAATCTGACAAAGAGTCCTCACGGCGAAACATACAATCGACTGTTTGGCTGGGTAATGACGACGGAGAGTTAGTGTTCTTTAGTACTTCGATTTTAGCTTAAAAAACAGCAAATTTTGATTTTCCTACTGTACTGAGACGTTATTAACGAAGCAAAATTTAGGATTTTCGTCTTCAACTTCTTAGATAACGTGAGATTAAAAGCACGAGAGAAATGTACCCGACTACCATTGCCTATAGATGATATTATATATATTGATGAGCGGGTGTTTGTTTCCCTGTCATCCAACTCCCATGCTCAGCTTATTTATTTTCAACGGAGTAAAGGTAATCTTTAACCAATCTTTAGTTCATTCAGCATTATGTGAAAAGCTCGATGATTAGATAAATCAACCAAAGTCGGTTTAAGATGGTAACTGGGATTTGGATAAGCCAACTCCAGTACAGCTGGAACTGAAAACCCGGCTGAAACCAATGTTGTCCGTCGTTTCTCGTCTATGTGCAGCATCTGGTAATTCGCTCTACCTCATCAATCCATACTCACTAAATATTGAGGTAATCTAAAGCACTTTCCTGCAAATTACACTCAATAAAACCATCTTATCGAAATGGCAGAGTAAAATCTTCAATCGAATTATGGGCTACGTGGAAATGGCATGTTCTCTCAAATGTTTCGATTTGTAGAAGCAAACAGAAATCAGCAGCCATACAGCAGAAACAGTAGGCTACATGGCAGCACACGGTTCCACGATTTTTATATCTATGGTTAAATCCTCAATCATCAAAATCATCAATGCTTTTACGCTAGAATGCGTTTTTGAGTTCAGCATTTCACATGTTATCAACAAAGTGCTATCTAGTAAGTTTCTATTAGTTTCTGTTCAGTATCCTTGTGAAAGATACAATCCATTTTATTTATAACCCAAATGGATAAGATCAACAACTCTAGATAAACTGGTTCTCATTGCAGCTCGAGAAGACATTATACGACAACACAAAATGGGGTGTTTGCGAATTTCTGCACTTTTATGCTGTAAAAATATGCTGTGGATTGGCACTTCATCAGGAATCATTTTGAATAAAAACGTGAGTGGTACTAGAAACTGCGAATGGACAGCATCATTAAACGGTGAGACGTAACAGATTTCTCATCATTAAAATCCGCGACTTATTAAAATTAGGTATGTCCGTTTCAAGAAAAGAGTTGCTAAATAATACTACCTCTGCAGTAGTCCAAGGTGGCCACGTTGGTCCTTGTCGATTCTTAACCGCAGTTAACGTTTCGTCTTCTACTGCTCTCTACGACATGCGTCGTCGAAGAATGTCGTTGAATGCTCCATCCTTACAGCAAATTGATCAGGTACCACGCATATACTTCATTTTGCAGCTGACTTAACACCAAGAAACTTCAGCAGTATTTGCACTATCCGATTAAAACATCGTTTTTTCAGATGTTAGTCATCAGCGGTGGTGAAGGATTTGATAGCATGGAAAATGAAATTAGAGATGAACAAACTGGTAATGACGATGCCATCAACTATTTGTTGTTTTGGACCGTATAGTCGTCAGCTTTGCTATACGCACAACGAAACGGAGTTGTGAAGCTGTCCAATAAAGGTCTGGTCAAAAAAAAAGAGAAAATTTTTTGCTGCAAGGACGAAAATAAAAATATGGAAACGATTTCACGATACACCAAAGAGGCTTTACAAGATTTGTTATTACCTGTAAATTTGTATAAAATAAATTTTATCAAGTAGTTTTTATCGCTTTAGCCATTTAGGCTCAGTTGCTAAAAGGTAATAACTGAAAAATCAGCGTGCTAAAATTCAATCTTGAACATATTCAGCCGAAGAATTACAAAAAAAGTCACCTCATGCAACGAAGTAGAATACATAAACAAGACCTGATTGGTCGAACTATATATATGGCTGAAAGTTCTGTAGGATTTAAGCGAAATAAGGGAAAATATTTTCAAAGAAATCGTTCATAGACTTTACCGCATTAAACCGCTCACTTTTTTAAACTAATGTCCCAAACTTGGCTTTTAAAAAATGGGACACTTTCGAACTTCAATGCGGGTATAACTCAACAGCAAAACCATTTCTCCAACCTGTGCCCTCAGTTTCTTACGAATCAGAAAAACCTTCAAAATTTTTGAGACGTTTGAAAAAAACGTACAGTTTAACTCAGAACTACCATCGCATAATACACGCTCAGATAAGCAGAAATATTTCCTAAAAATTAAAAATGATATGGTAGTCACAAGTCCTCCGAATTATCATTTAAAGAACTTCAGTTCCACTTCTGAAAAGCCATCTCGGCGCATATAGTTTAGGTCTGAATTATCACTTTTATTATCATCAGTACAATAGAATTAAAAAAGACGTTATTAAGACAAGAACAAGATTAGGCAACTGCTTAAAAATCAAACAAAAATTAAGCAGCAAAATAAAAACACCACAAAGTAAAAATTGCAGTAGTAACAATAATTAAGGCAGTCATCACTTAGAAACGACAAGGTGAGGACTGCACAGGAAAAACAAATTGACACTAAATATATCACAACCTTATAAAATATAAGACTCAAAACTTCTACATCAGGAAGATCATAACAAATTTTAACAAAGCAAATACAAAAAATTTCCTTATTAACACCACAAAATGAATAATGAAAATCAGCTTCAAGAACTGAGCCATTGAAGACATTGAATCAATTTATATAAAAAAAGACATACATTAACTTAAGTAATTTATATCTTCCTAGTTCTCCTTAAACCGCAAACAGCCTTTAACCATCTTATTCTCTATAAATGAGCCATTCGGTATCTCTAGAAGTTTCCCCTCGTCTGCAACAATTATAACATCTCCTTTCAGAACGACACTGCTACCGAAAACAACATCACCATCTACTCTGAGTCGTACTAAATCGGCGATACGAGGTATTGATGCGAACCGCTTTCGAAAATCTGCTATTGAACTAAATTCTTCAGATAGCTTAATAACCGGTTGTTCAGCGATTGGCCGACCCACCTTCAATCGCACGTTGCAAAATTCGTCCATTTCATATATGTCACTCATCAATGCCAAGAGATCCTGAGTTTTTTTCACCGGCAGAAACCTTGCACGAGGTACCTTCACACTAACAACTTTTTGAAAGTTACGTATCGCACCACCTACAGAAGTTTCTAATTGTAAAACTTGATTTCCATTCCCCAACTTCTTACGATTGACAATTATTTCCATCTTCATTTCCGGCAATCTAGCTTTCACATTCCGCAAATTCACCCATATGTTATTGGTGTTAAACATTTTGAATGTGCGTAATGAACAGAATTCTTCTACATTTGCTTGAGGCACTTGTGGCATTTCCAAATGCATAATACCACCATTAATTTCTATTAGAGTACCACCTTTGGTATCTGCTAAGGTTTTTTGCGTACATTCCATAGCATACTCCGTTCCAGACTCAATCATAAACTGAGCGATCTTGAGATCTACAGTGGCTCCAGTATTGTCAATGTTTGAAATAAAACATATTTCCCTGTTCTCAGCAATCAACTCGTCTAAGATTCCGCTAAATTCCATTGATTCAAAAACGTTCCCATGTCCTGGAGGGTACCAACTTTCGTTTTCATTCGAGTTATTAAGTGTAAATACAGGTTTGTGTGTCACTGCATCTATGCGAGGGCATTTGCTTTGTGTGAAACAACGAACACTTTTGCATATCGTACTAAGGTACTGACAGATATCTGATTCTGTGTTGAAACTGTTCATTAACAGTAACGGAACGTCACTGCCGTACTTCTGGTTCAAGGACTCGTTCTGCTTAATCGCAATATCCAAAAACGTTAAGCCGTCACGAACGACAAGTAGTGATTTGGGGCCAGAACAACCCATCGTGGTTCCAAGCCCTCCATTCAGCTTCAGAACACAGAGCCTGTTCAAGATCATTGCCTCTCTACCAGCGACCTCTGGTAATCCATCGTAATCAATCTCATACTCACTGCTCAGTGGTCTCATTTGAGACCACTTGATAGTTGTAGGTTCTGTAAGGAGCTGTTTGTATAGCTTTAAAAAGACGTTCGCGTCATGTTCAGATTTTTTGTTGATGGCTTTCCCTTTCAAGTAACCTTGCATTTCTTGTAACTTCCTCAAATACGGCTGCAACGCCATGC